TAGAATAAAAATTAGTAAGTTATATTTAGTGTTGCCATTATTATATTTATAACAATAAATAAAAAATAAAATATTTATTATTCAAGCTACATAATTGTTCTATGTGTAATTTAAAAAGTTAAACTTTATTAAGAATAATAATTTAAATTTAGTTTTGCTATTATTTAAAAAACAAATTATTAAGCAACACTATTACATACATTTAAAAATGGAATGAAAAATATTAATTTGAAATGCTAAAAAAATTAATTTTCCACACAGTAAAAACTTACTACGGGAACCAAAAGTCAAAATGAATCCGCAAAAAAATCCGAAAAGATAGTTTTATTTAAAATGTCAAATATTCGCGTAAATCTAAGAAAGTATTGATTGTTTTACATGATTACCTTTTTTTTCGTATTCTTCGTAACAAACTTTCATTTGATATTCATCGTGAGAGTGCATAAAAAATATAGTCCACCATAAATTATAAAGTTTATATTATGGGAAAGTTATCTATCATTTTACAGTAAACACTGGAGTTAGATGAAAATTTATTTTAATTTAACATTTCTAGTCTGAGAATGATAAAAAATCGTTTGCTGTGATCACAAAATTATTTAGATTCAATGTTATATTTTGTGTGCACGCCTGCAGAGCATATTGTAGAGGTTACGTGGACTTATCACATTATACCAAATGCATACAAAATATACTATTTTGTAGCATACGTCAAGTAAACGAATAATTTGAATCTATAAGATCTAAGCGAACACAAAGAAATAACAAATATTTTTTTCGTAGAATATCTCACTTGGGTTTTGATGATGTAAGACAATAGTTGCCTCTTATAAATTTTAAGTCTTTATTTAAACACTAGCAACTCACCCTCGCTTTGCTCAGGTGCATCCCTAGGTACGTTTTAAAGGTTAGTATGGAATAGATAGACTATAATATATATATAGGTATTGAAAAGTTGGTAAACTCTTTAAAAATACAGACAGACTTTGGCATTTATAATATTAGTATGGATTAATAATCGAATTTTGTGGCAGAATACGTTTGTTTGTTGTACGTTAACTTACAGTTTTTGCCTCGTTTTAGCACAATACAAAACGTGACGTTGAGATCCATCACTTGTAATTTTTTTCTTAATTTAAGCGATAAAATAAGTACCTACTAGATATGTAACAACTGTATTCCTTCTGTACAATCAAGGAAAGATGAACAGAAGAACTACCGATGAAATTTAACTTCAGCAGTACATTTTAAACTTATTTTCATAGAATAAATCTTTAAAAAATCTATTTCCATAAATTTCAGTATACGAGCGCACGTAGCAAGAAACGAGTGTGAACGCTGACTGTCTCAAGTGTTTGATTTCATTGAGTCTCATAAAACCAGACATTAGTTTGAAAGCAATACCTTACAATAACATAAATTTTTTAAAAGTTTTATTTATTCTTATAATTGAAAATTGAAGATTGTTTGTTTTTTGTTCTCTCTAGGACTCTTAATTCGACTATAAAATATCTTCTTAATTTTATAACCTACTAGCGACTCTCACTCGCTTCGCTCGGATTCGTCCCTTGGTACATTTTAACGGTGAGTATAGATTTGTCAGAGATGAGATATTTTCCTGCAGTAAAAAGTATCACAAATGTTGTCGCCGATAATCAGATAACATCATAAATATCAAATCAAATTTAATACTTTCTTAGATTTACGCGAATGTTTGACATTATTTAACAAATCAAATTTATCAAAATCGGTCCAATGGTTTTTTTTTGATGTGTTCCCAGATAAGACTTAAATAAAAAAACTGTACATTCGGCCTGTGTATCGATAATAATGACTATTTCAATAAGATTTTCCAAAAAATATTTAATATTTATAGATTTATTTTGAAAAATTAAGGATATGAGATATTAAGGAATATTATATTTATATTATAATAGTCACTGCTAGCCGCTTTGCTTGCATGATAGTGATTTCCAGGGTAAACATATTCTGAATTACTCAAAAATATTTTAGTGAAATTAATATATGATTTTAGCATGTATTATCTTCATGAGATCACTTATATAGACCAGACTACTGTGACTACGTCAGGCAGCTATCAAAAAAAATTGCACCATCACAATTGTTCCTGTATAAAATAATACAGTGGCTGTTTTTAATTTAATCCATAAACATGTTTGGAATTCCAATTAAAATTTTAAGTGTCTGAATTTTTGAACGGTTTTAATAAAAGTATTGTATTTTTTAAGAGAATCCCAAGCCTATGTGTATGTTTGACCACGCGTAGTTTATATAGCGTAGTCCGACTTTGAGCTTATGTTTTTATTAGATGGGATCAAAGCTAGCTACATTTTAACGTACAAAAGGAATTCCAAACTTAAGACAATATTAATTGGAGTATACTTATAGAGTACATTTAAATCACTATAACATAAAGACTTTTAAACAATATGTATGTTCAACTAATGTATGAATAAATAAAATAAATCTTTAACTTAATAACCAAGCAAACTAATATTAATAATTTTGAGTTCGTTTAGCAATGTTTTAATATATAATGTATATTATATAGTATATAATATAATAATATTATTAATAGAAGTTTTGCAACTTGCTCGATGGTCTAGTGGCCAACATGTACAGATGCAGATATGGAAGTCCTGCGTTCGAATCTCGAGTCGGGCCAAGTTAAATTGTTTAGTTTTTCTGTTTAGAAAGTCTCAGTAACAACCCAGAATTGGAAAGTTGGCGGTGTTACACCTCCGTGCCTCGGAGAGCACGTAACGCCGGCGGTCCTACACCTGATCCTGCACTAGTTGTGTTAAATACTTGTCCCACCCGCGGCATTTGAGAGTCATAGAGAAAGGAATAGAGAGTGCATGTTGTGTCTGCGCGTACACTTGTGCATTATAATATCTCGTTCTCATCTCTCTCGTATCTCGTCTTCATCGTCGTGGCAGAAGTTGGTCCCAAGGAATTATCATTAGAAGTTTTATATAGGTAAATTTAAAAAATATATTTACAAGATGAAGAAGTTAGTGTATTTTATAAGTTAAGAATAATAATTGTCTTTTATAATTTATTCGAAGACGTGAATTATAAAGCCTATTATCTATACTAATATTATAAGGAGTTAAAATTTGTGAGTTTATGACGTTGTAGGGGATAATCTCTGGATCTACTAAACCGATTTCGATGAAATTTAGTAAGAAGATAGTTAGAGACCCTGAAAAGGACATAAGATACTTTTTATCTCAAAAATCATTCCTTAAGGGGGTGAAAATAGGGATGAAAGTTTGTACGGGAAACCCGAGCAAAGCGAGGGTGAGTCGCTAGTTAGATTATAATTATGAACAACACACACAAAATTTAATGTTTTGATATATAATAGATGTTTCGTAGAAATTGAATAACAAACAAATAATCTATAACCATTCGCTACGGTTATTTGGATATGTCAAGAGTAATGTATCATCGGGCCTATAAACGTAATTTATTGTATTGCAAACCAATGCTATTATTGCATAGTTTAAATGAAAATTCATACGTTAAAGTTTCGGATGGTTAACACATTAGTATTTATTACTTTTTCAATGCGATGACAACAATATTGATATGTAAAATAATAATCATATCTGTTATAACCAACTTTTCTATACATAAAAAAAATCTAACTAAGTCGAATCTGTACATTAAATATTTTTTGGAAAATCTTATTGAAATAGACATTTTTATCGATACAGAGACCGAATCTATATTTTTTAGCACTTTTGTCTGTCTGTCCGTCTGTTACCGCATCACAGAAAAACCACTGGAGGGATTTTGATGAAATTTGGTATGATGATAGCTGGGTTATCCGGGTCAACATAAAGGATACTTTTTACCGCGGGAAAATGTCTCATTTCTGAGAAAAATTACAAAACTGCAACATAAGAGTATACTAATATGTAAAACCTAAGAATTTAGTTTTTGGTCATATGAACGCGGGCGGAACCGCGGGGTATGCTAGTCTTAAATAAATTTTATTAGGAATACTTTAGCTGGTTTTTCGACTGATAATACGCTTGCGTAATATGCCTATTGCCTAATGCTTATATTACTAAAGAGTAGCTTACGTTTAGAGAAACAATATATATATAAAAAGACCCTATGAAGTCCAAAACGGTAGGAGCGATTTTGATGAAATTTTTAGGCAATCTTTAGATTAGCCCAGAGGGTGATCCTGTGAAGTTTGCTAGCGATCGGAAGTTTGAACACGGGCGAAGCCAAAGGTAATGCTAGTATTTTGATATAATAAAATAATAGATTTTTTAAATCTCGTATAATATAATAGTGCAAAATAACAATTGTTAAAGATTCAGCCGATGGTACTGGTATATTCATGACCTGGAACCAGATTCCGATGGCAAGTATATTTTGTTTTCATCATACTACATAACTTTCTTAGCCTTATTACTTTTGTATGCATCGATAAAAACCATTAGTCTTTGGGGAGCCAAAGTGCTGGGCGTAATTTACCAATAAAAGATGTAAGAAAAACCGTCAAGTGCAAGTCGGTTTTGCCCACCAAATGTTCCGTACCATTATCCATACTAATATTATAAATGTGCGTGTTTGTTTGTTTTTCTTTCTTTCACGATAAAACGGAGTGGCGGATTGACTTGATCTTTTGTGTGGAGATAGTTGGAGGGCTGGAGAGTGACATAGGCTACTTTTTATAGGAGTAAAATAGGGGATGAAAGTTTTTATGAAACTAACTTTTTAAAGATGTTTTTGCAGTTTTAGCGCGAGCTACTTTTACTTTTAAAAAAAATCATCAAAATCGGTTTAGCGGAAGAAGGAGACGATTTCGAAAACACGCTTATCGGAATTTTATAAAAAACAATTAAACCTAAAAAAATAAAAGATTTACAATTCATAGATAAGATTATGCATGTTTATTGACAATATCTTTAATATAATTATGGACAATACCTTTAATATAATTTCAATTGATCTTATTGATTCTTATTTAAATCAATATCTTCTTCTTCCTGTCCATTTCCTAAGTCACTTGGGGTCGTCGCAGTAAGTCTTCCTCTTCCATTCTCCCCTATTACATCCGTCATCTCATTATTCACCCCTTTCTCTTTCCCTTTCTCTTTCATGTCCTGTCTCACACAATATATCCATATTTTCTTCGGTCTTCCTCTACATTTCCATCTATCTACAATATATTTTAGTATAATTAAAAAACAGTAGTTAAACCACCGATGGTTGTGTGGCATATTGCTTTTAAAGCAATAGTAGCTCCTTTGCATGCTTTATGTTTTTCGGAAATAAATCAGTACCTATATAGTCCAGTTATTGTACATATGTGCAATAAATAATAAATGAATTAATATCAAATACGGTTTTATTTTGAGTATTTCAGAAAGATGGAGACTATTTATACAAATTTATTACTGTAACCAATATAATTTACCTATGAGGCTTTACTACGAAACGCAATGTGGAACTTACTCGTAGTTTGAAGATGAACTTTATCCTTCTCCTATACTTCATTTCCACGTATACATTATAAGATAGATGTAAGAGTTTTTAGTAGAACATTACGACGTACTCATATTATAAAATATAGCATTAGAAATGGTTAAAGTACTTCATTTTGAACCTTTTAAAGTAGATTTTAGTGAATGTCCCGTTTTAAAAGCTTTCAATAACTTTTCTAACATAAGTTTGTCAGTTTCCGCCTCATCAAATAAGCTTGTGTCCTCGGAAACACACTAATGGAGCAAGTTTGTGTAACATCCGAAACAATTGCTTACGACCACGGGATTTCTCGCTCCGCTTATTTTGTTTATGGACGAATTGCTTATGTAATACTAGCTACTCACCCTCGCTTCGTTTGGGTTTGTCCTTAGTGAAATACAAAAACAAATCCAACCCACAGGAACCATACATTTTTCCGGAATAAAAAGTAACTTATGTGCTATTCCAGGCTATAATCTATCTCTGTATCAAATTTCATCCAGATCCGTGCAGCCGTTCTGGCATAATCGCGTAACAAATAAACATCCATCCATCCAAACTTTCGCATTTATAATAATAATGTGATTTATTTTAATTATTAAGAAAAATATAGTAAATTCTAAAATATATTTTTTTATACTTTTTTCATAGAGATAAGATAAAACACATTACTTATCTCTATCCAAAAAGTATTCCAAAGTTTTAACAGTTCTCTTCATATTATATAAACTGAGGGAGCTTTTAGAAGTAAATTTTTAGTTGTTTTTTTTTCTTTTGAGTAACTAAGATGTATATATTTAATTTATTACTAAAAATGAAATATTTGTGCTTAAAAAGTAGTATATTATAACATTTAAAATATTGGAAAAGGTTTCAATCAGTGTTAGGAATCTAGAAACTTTTAGAGAGTAAGGTGAAAATAATTTACCAATAAATATTTTATTGTTCAAGCAAATTTTATTTAGCAAGTATTCAAACTGTCGGCACAATATAATAAGATTTACCGTTAAATGAACTACGCATAAAGTTTACCGCTGTTTGCTTTGTGGTTAGCGCCATGTTATTTGCGAAGTATTTGACGGAAACTCTCTGAACAAAACTTTATTTACACGGAAACCGCAGTGAGTTAGAATTTGTTCTTTTAGCAACAAAGCGAATTAATAGACAAAAATGGTCTACTGTCAATGCAGTACAATATTCATCTTACTTATCAGTCCCTATTTAATGAGTAAATTTTAATTTGTTATTATAGATGCTGTTGTGACACAGCAACAGAATGACGAATTGGTTTGATTTTTTGTAGACAGATTATTATACTATAGCTACATATGAACTTTATTTTTTTTATTATGCCATAGGCTAGCGCTTGACTACAATCAACGCTGGGAAGCACTGATGAGGTCTAGGTTGGAGCGCGTTTGCCTAGAAAATGCCTATTCACTCTTGACTTGAAGGTACTTAAATTATAGGTGGCAGGAAACACGGATGCTGGAAAGGTGTTCCACACCTTATCAGTTCTTTGCAGATTCGTAGAACTAAAGCGTTTTGTGCGAGTTGGTTGTATTTCTACGACATAAGGATGCCCGCGCTCACAACATCTCACAGTTCTGTGGTAAAACGGTTCTGTTGTTTTGCAACCTAATACAGGTAAATTGCAATAATCATTATTCTCATTAATTTATACTAATATTATAAAAACGAAATGAGCGTCTGCTTTTTGTTTGAGCAAAACTTATATTAGAGATACATAGATTGCATTTTTTTTTTTCAACTTTGGCAAATACAGTTAGGCATGCCACCTGCATAAAAATATAAACAGGTGGTTATATGGGACTCACCGGCTAGAAAAGCCAATACTTCTCACTAAAAACCAACGGAACCTCCCCCGTCATAATGGGATATCGCAGATTCATTCAACCAAGACGCTCAACAGCCGACCACAATAACCATGGGGTTTTAACACATAGATAATTTTTCGTAAACCTTGACCTTGGGAACACTGTATAGAAATTTAGGTATATCTTTTCAATTGGAAAATTCAATTTATAACGATAATTTTTCATCAAAATGCCTTCATTAGGCATGTGAAGTTTTTTTGCCATATCATTACTGCATTTTATCCGCAAAATATTTGATCAACCTTAAAACTTGCTAATACTTCTTCTTACATTTTAAAGATATACTATAGAGCATAGAACCATCTTGATAGTTATTCGTATAACACTGACTTAATCTTGATTTACATTAATGGAATTATCCAATGTTACTGAATATGTAGATGGAAGCTGTCAATCGTGGCATTTAATATGTAATTAATGACATAAATCACGTGTTTGATTACCCATTAGTTGTGCGCATACCTTTGGAATATAATGAATTCTAATTAGAAATTATTAGATAATACGTACCTGTATGTATCATTTAATAGGTAACAGTTTATCTACATGGTATAGATAACGTATTTAACTAGTAAGTTTGTTTCAATGACGACACGTTTGGCTCAGTTTGTAGTGATCCTCCTTGCTGTGCCAGACGTCGCGGCTTCGATTCCCGCTGGGGGCATTCATTTGTGTGATAAGCACGAATGTTTATACTCTAGTAATGGGTGTTTATATTTATACTATATATGTATATAAAGTTATATATGTGTAGTGTATCAAGTATCTGGTATCCATAACACAAGCCTCGTAGCTTACCATGGAACTAGATGGTGCTGTGTTAACGTTCCAACATAATAGTTTCTCATGTTTCAGTCTTATTAACTTTAAAACTAAGAAGTTGATCACTTTCTACCTAATATTATAAAAATAAATAAAAAGCTCGTGGTTACTATTAAATGAGTCGAAAATATTTTATTTGTGTAATTAGTATAAAATCTAAGATAATAAAATTATTAAAAATGGCATGTTGCGATCATAGTTCTTAGTTTTTCGTCTATCCCAGGTGTTAACACCTGAAACGAAGACTCACTGAATATGTACCTACTTAAATATATTGTGGATTAAGGAATATGTCTGTGATTTAAATAAAGGTGTTTTTTTTATAATATTTATTTCTTTTGAATTAAGTCTATACCAATATTTTTAGATGAAATTTATTTTTGATTAAGAAAATAATTATTAAATAGTGCAAATATGGTGGGAAATTCAAAGTAGTTGAAACGCACGCTATTGGTCAGACCGAATATGACGTCAAAGTATTATCATAACAGAGCGATTAGCAATTTAGAGTTGGATTTTTTTTACAATTATGTATAGAACGATGTTACCTATTGTATAAAATATTTTTTTTTCATTTTTTATAATCCCTCATAATACGTAAGTAATAAATTACATATTATGAGGTATAATATTATGATGTGAATATTTTATTATTTTTAAAAGGATTAAATGAAACGTTTCTTGGCTATGTTGTTATTTAGAAGACATAAACTAAGTAAACATTAAGTAATAATAAACATAAATCACAATCTGCTTTAACTGTATGCTAAATAAATGCAATACATTGAAGATATTTTCATAGCAAGCTCTTTTAGAAAACGAAATAAATTAAGGTACTAAAAAAAGGTACTAAAAAGTCTTTAAAGACTCGAGTTTTAATTTTCTCTTCAAACATAAGTTTTATTATATCTTTCACTACAAAAATAAGACTGTAAAATTTTTTAAATTTATTCAGTTCCACACTTGTTTAATCGATGTTTCAGGTCATTGCTCCTTGTTCGAAATCAACCTAAATACCGTTTTAGACTGCGGGATATATTTTTAAAATTTTGATAGAGAAAATAATATACTACTCATAGAAATTTGCTAAATATATTAAAAACTAGCATTGCCCGCGGCTCCACCCGCGTTCAGATGGCCAAAAACCAAATTCTTAGGTTTTACGTATTAGTATACTCTTACATTGCAGTTTTTGTATTTTTTCTCAGAAAAAAGACATTTTGCCGCGGTAAAAAGTATTCTATACGTTGACCCGGATAACCAGCTATCACCATACCAAATTTCATCAAAATCTCTGCAGTGGTTTTTCTGTAATGCGGTGACAGACAGACAGACAGACAGACAGACAAAAATTCTAAAAACTATAGATTCGGCCTCTGTATCGATAATAATGTTTATTTCAATAAGATTTTCCAAAAAATATTTAATGTACAGATTCGGCTTAGTTACAATTTTATTACGAGTATATGTATAGATATAGCGGGTTTTGAAATTAATATTTATTTGTGATCGTGAAAATTTTACGATTTTTTGTTTTTGTTTTGTTTCTATGAAAATCCAAAAAGATAGTTTTAATTAAAATTAATATAAATATTTAGCCCTTTTTAAAATCCCATTACTTCCATCAATGTGAGACATGCAAATTTGGTCACGTTGTTTTTCCTTACTGCAGTGCAAATGTTGAAAATTAGCACATAAAAATCTGGAAGAATTAGGCACTTTATTTTGTTTATTTAGGCACTTTATTTAGGCATTTTTAATTTTGTTTGAAAGTTTATACTTCCAGATTGGTCCCATTTAAATTTCAAAAAAAAATACCACTCCTAAGGGTGGCAAAATAGCTAATGATTTTAAACTACTTTTAATTGTAATACTTTCTTAGATTTACGCAAAACACCTACAACTCATGGACAATGAAACTATGGTCAGTTTTGATGCACAGTCTCTATTCACCAGCCTACCAGTAGAGGACTGTGTCAAAATAGTATCAAGAAAGCTACGGGATAATAGTATACAAGAAGAATACACTGAACTTTTGAAACACTGCCTTACATCTGGCTATCTATTGTGGAATGATGAATTCTACAAGCAAGTGGATGGAGTGGCCATGGGTTCGCCGGTCTCTCCCGTTGTAGCTGACATCTTCATGGAGGCCTTCGAGGAGACCGCCCTAAACACATCACCTGTGACCCCTCGTTTCTACAAGCGGTATGTAGATGACACTTTCACAATATTACCATCTGATAAAATATCTGTATTCTTAGAACATCTTAACTCCATAAACCCTAAAATACAATTTACAATGGAATTGGA